GTGGGATGGTAAGAGCGTCCCGCCTGCGCGTGCTTTTACGGCTAATTAGCAGTTTGGCTGGGTAAGCCACGCCCCCTCTGCAGGACACCGCGCCCACCTCTGTGCACTGGGGAATTTAGGCAGTTACCGTACCCACCTTCCAGGACTAACAACCTGGGTCTCTAAGGGCTGCCCTAGATCCAAATGGGACAGCTTTCGACTGGAACTAAACTAATTGGAGAAATCGGGGTCAGCATTTCACCCCACTTGGCGAAGCCGTACGTTTCTGTAAAGGTGGATGTCCGTTTCCACTACAGAACTTCCGTGCTCTAGTCTAGTCCAGTTTTCTCTGATTAAAAAAAAAAAAAATCACAGGGTATTTTACTAAATGGTTGCCATAGTAAGCATGTGTCACGCCCTGTGCTGAGCACTTTGCGTTCACTCTTCATTTACTCCCCACTGCAAACCTCTGAAATTACGGCAACCGGGATTTGACCTGACTCCAGACCTACTAGTTTAACAGAGGAGATCTAACGGGGTGACTGTTGGTTAACAGTTGGCTAATCACAAGGCATCCGATCCTCACTTTTTTCCCTTTTTCTTTGAAGTGTCTTTTCTGACAGGAAGTCAGAAAACCACATTCTCAAAAATCTCAGGAAAAGGCAATAGAACATACCCTCACCCTCTAACGGAATACGTAGTTTATTTAGCACGCTAAGTCCTAGTTTCTTCAGCTGTGAAGTTAGGATAATTCTGACTGAGGTGAAGGGAGATGACTATCAAATGCCCAGCAAATGGTCAGCACTAGTTGAAGCAGTGCATCACTCACTTGGCAGAGGCTGAAAAATCATATTGTAACTTCTGTGACCCTCCTGTTTTCAGAGCTTTTCTTTCCAGGGCCATAGACGATGCAGTGTATCATAAAGCAGGGCTTCTCCCGTTTGAATTGCACAGACTCACCCGGGGATCTTAAAGGCAGGTTCTGATTCAGCTCTGGGGCAGGGCCTGGGCTTCTGCATTTCTAACAAGTCCCCGGGTGGCACTGCTGCTGGTCTCTGGATGCAGAAGGGTCTGTGATCGTTGTGGGTGGTAAAGGTGGGGAGGGGCATAGAACACAAGCAGCGGCAGAGCAACAGCGTGCGCTCCTCAGCACATTCAGGCACACCCACTGATTCTGAACTCTTTAATAATGTCAGGCGTGTTACACAGATAATGGAGGTAATCCTGAAACAGGCTGTTATAAGTTATGTAAAGTGTGAAACCACGCTTCTGGTGGCAACTTTGTCAACCACCTCAAGAAACTGCGTTGAGAGCCACAGAGAAACTGACCAAAAGGTTAAAGATTAAATAAATATGAAAAGGTAATATTTTACTATCAAGTATAATTTTGGTTAGACATGGTATTTGTTCTCAGAGCTGTCCTTTAGAACCTAACCGATGTGACTCCACTGCACCATACCCCAATCTGATTTGCTGCACTGCATGACTGAAAGTCTTTGTTTTTTAAAATTTGTATAACCTACATGTATGCCCACTATGGTCTGTTAGAGATAGCATTCCAACTTCACCTGCTTATTTTTTTTTAAACTATCACTCTTCCTGTGGGGGTAGGAGGGGGATTGTGTGTGGTTGTTCATGGGACAGTGACACCTGACAGAAAAAAAAAATCTTCATCTCCAGAATGGGTCCTTGTTTTCAGCTCAGTATGAGTAATAAAGAGTTCCCAGTCAATGTACATAATAAACAAGAGCAAAGGGTGGCCACTGGAAAAGGGAGAGGCTGTTCTCACACTGCCTTGTAGATTATCAAATGTAGTATCTCCTCGATAAGAGGTAAAAATGAGGACCATTGCACGATGGGAGCAGCAGTGGTTGGATTCTTAACGCTGTGCAAGTTAGCAGCTTGGTGTGAGCTTCAACCTCAGCATTCTCTCCCATTCGATCCGGCTAAGACATTTCCAGCTCCAGTGAACTTTTGCCCTCTGAAAAGTCCAACTCATGCAAAATCAAATGCCGGGGGGCTAATGTTACAGGTTACATATTAAATAGTGGGATATACCTTTCATGGGTCTTGTAATTGTAAGAAATTATCATATTACAGTATTAATGTCTTGGCCACATACTTTTCAAAAGTCCTTTCTTTGGTAAATAAAAAAGATCAAATGAGATTTCTTTTAAGATGAAAAGTTTATTTTGCCTTTTGCCTAGAAGCAAAACTAGTGAAAATTAAAATTAAAGTATAAAAATAAATATAATTTACATTCATGGACATTCCACTCAAAGAAAAAAAATAACAAAAATAATATATATAAATAAAAATCCATTAAAAGCACAAAACAATGTCTGGCACTTTTAGGAGAAAAAGCTGTGAACATTAAAAAATTTGTAAAACACACAAGCTTTTATCCTTAAAAAAAACACTCAAGTTTTGCATCCTTAATCTAAAACTAGTTTTATCTCTGAAACATACTATTTGTTGTAGCCAATTTGCATTTCTGTACACAAAACTTTTAGCATCTATCTTTCATACTGGAAAGACCCACAAGATCTGAGTAAGCTGTATCCTGAGTTTTCAGAATGATAAAGCACAATTTATCATATTAAGATAATTTTGATACACTTTGCCCACAAATATAAATTGGTAACTCAGACATTTTTGAGTATGTTCTATTTCTAATTTTCTGATTCACTCATTAAATAAATGATACATCTCAATAAAGAAAATCAAGTTTACACCCAGAGTAGATTACTATTTTCTGTCTACAGCTAGATGTAAAAGTTAAATTTTAAATGGAACGGAAAATCGAAGAAAACAATCTTTATCTCGACATTCTTAAGAGAATATTAAGAATATATATAGTCTGCATTTTCAAAATACCAGTATCTTTTTAAAATTTAAGTTAGAAAGATTAAATGTACACATAAATGTTCCCAATTTTATGTGAGAAGCACAAAGCCCTTTTGGAGATGGCATGATAAATTAACAGTGACATTCTTTTTCATAAAATCATGTTCCCTTGGTAACACTTTTTGGTTTATATTTTAAATGATTATGTAAGTGATGAAAAACCTTAAACATTAGTGCCTCTTATGTAATGCAGACTTTCAACTAGACAATATTATTATCCCATTTGAAAATCTGAATTTATCATATTGTATAGCCCTTTATTCTCCCCTAAATCCAGCATGCTAAAAAAAGCAGACTATGAAGAAATAAACAGACTAAATAGAAAATGTAACTGCATGCAACACGTTATTCTATTTTAAAGAAATAGATGTAATAATGCATTCATTCCTAAGCGCATTCCTAAGGAATGCATTCATTCCTAAGCGCTACTACATTTAAGAACATTGTGCTATCTTCCCCAAATTTGTTATACCCTCCACAGAAAGATTTTATAATTTAATAGAAATGTTTCTAATAGTACTAGGGTAACATACATTATTAACATACATTAAGCCTAACATTTCTGTGAGACAACTAGTTGTTGAGAGGAATGTGTACCTGTGACCAAAATGGTGATGCCCATCTACTCCTGTGGTGAATTTTAGGTGGACCACAAGCAACAGGCAAGTGTTCTATCCTATGTGGTTACATCGTAAGTCCAAGAATATGAGAGATTAATCAGAGTTTTCAAAGTTACAAAACCGGGGAAAAACATTCTTCTGCAATAATTTCCCCTCAAACAGAACAGTATCTAGTTTATCAAATTCAGCAATCAGTGTGCAGAGATTAATGAAATTTATATTTCAGAACTTATTTATAAGTTATCACACCTTTTCAATATTTTATAGAAATAAACGCAAATGTCCTTTAAGTTTACAAAAAGGTTCTCGGCGGACACCTGAGTAATAAAACAAACTTATGTTTGTGCACGTTAAGGACAGAAATGAGCCAATTACTAAACACTAATTTGTCTTCACCCAAAACTGATATTGAGGAAAATTCGGTGGGGGGGATGGGATTAGCCAGACTGACCAAAATATCCAGATGATTTTTCAGCCCTTTGACATCACTTTGCCTGTGTAAACACAGTCCAGAGTTAAATAAAAAGTCGTGAGCAGGGAAAATAATATGGATCCTAACCCTTCCCCCCTTTTTTATCCTAATGAATGTTGTCTTCTTAAGTTGTCGCAACATTTGGCTGCTTTCTTTGGATTTTTCCTGCATATACTCCTAAAAATAGAGCAAAACTATTATTATTTCTCAATGTTAGTTTTTCTGTAATGATACCATTTAATGAGTGCTCACTATGTACCAAGCACTGAGCTAAGCAAAACACGTTATTATATTTAATCCTTATGTAAAATAATCACGAGGTCAAAATTGTTACTACTATTTTAACAATAATAAAACTGAGACATAGGAGAGTAAGTCACCTGTATAAGTAACAGAGCTAGAAGTAGAAACTCTGAGAACCCAATTCTACCTGATTCATTGTTTTACTTAACCATTTTGCATTACTACCTCCTACTCTCTGCTTTAATTAGCAATTTCTGAATTTCACTATAAACTCTTAAGTCAAGCACAAGACATCAAATGAATGTTTTAAAACATATATGAGATCAGAGACTGCAATTTAGTTTCTAAAAACTATAAACAACTTAAATTGCTTTGCAGCAAACTTTAACGCCTTAGAATTGTACTTCAGTCTAAGAATATGATAGTCTATCAACATAAAAATGAGTTTTCTATAAAATGCTTAATAAAAGGTTTGTCCTCCATGTAGGTCATATCAAAGCATAATTTCAAATTTGTTTGAAACATAATCCAGGCCATTAAAAATTTAAGGAGGAAAGAATAATCTTTTCAAAAGCAACTACGGATCCCTGTGTTGAGATTCATAGTAGAATTTTAGTCAGTCATAAGCCAAATTTTCAGTCTATGTAAAAGGATAAAATTCTTTAGTCTTTTTCAATTGTCTAAATATGCACTCACATATAAATAAATCTTTAGGAAAAAATAAGAAAGAACTTTTGTACTTGTTTAGATACATATTAATTATACATGTTAATTCAAGGGTTAAGTACATTTTTATTAATAATTATGTTGCAATGCAATTAAACCATAATAGTTCTAAATACTAAACTTCATTGTACACATTAACTGCAATGACTTCCTATTCATCCTTTATACTGTTGCGTATTACTGAATAGAGACAGTAGTTGCTATTTTACTTATAGATTCACAAGTGACAAATAGTGGAGATGAAATGCATGAGAAAAGAATATGGAGAGTAGTCACTCTAGCAATAGACAACATTAGGCAAAACAATACTAATTCCTCAATGATTTGTCAACTAGCTAGGATTTATTACAATATATAACACTAACATGAGAAAAAATTGAAAATGTCTTAAAATTCCATGTAACTTCACAAGCAACAGGTCTGATGTTTGGTCTGAGTTCTTCCAAATGGTTATCCTTCAAACCAGCTGATTCTACCTCTGGAATAAGCAGGATTTTCAGCTCTGTAATCCCCTTTAAAACAACTCCATTGACTATCACTCACAGTGAATTCCAAAAGATGACCTTTTAAATTATCCTCTATATATTCAACATTATGAGTTAAACTCACTATATATACATGCAAAAGGTGAGCAATCAATTCAAAGTTGTGATCAATATCTTGTTCCCTCTTTGAACTTATGTGAATAACATGAAAAAATTTATGTTGCTTATTCCCTCCTCATTTGGAGAAAATTACTTAGTAATAAAAGCTCTAAAATATGACTAATGGTGTATTAATGAGAAGACTAGAATTTATTAAAGATTTAATTTTAATTGCCTGGTGATTAGGTTTCTTTTAAATGTTTAGAAATCAGTCTAGTTAAAGCAAAGCATTTTGCAAGTATTTTTAATGGATCACATAATTTTTGGTGAGTTATCACAGTGTCTTAACAAAGACACCTAAAACATATTAAAACATTAGCTTAAGGGTTTTGCATTAGCTCAACACTGAATTTGTCTTTTTGCCACCATAAATAGGATTTTAAAATACACTTTTTGGCCTAGCCCTTAAATAATTCTCAATGAACATAAAGAGAAATTTAGCTCAAGCTTCTTATTGAGCAAAAGATTAAGACTTCACCCCCTCCCATTTGGCATATTCACATGTGACCTTGTGGTCAGAGAGAAATTCTTCCCCTTATGTGCAGATACAAATATTCCTGGGTGATACACTTCCCCAAAGCTGAATAGACATGCACAGATTTAGACATCAGATCATTATATTTTACTCATTTATAAAAACTTTTCTGAGTTAAGCATGTATAATTCTACAAAGTTTTCAGATTAAAAAATACATAGTGTCTCCATGGAATTTACAGAAATCAAGATTGGAACCACAGTTTCACTAAGATCTCCTGACTGCTGCAAAATACTAATACAAATGATCACTAGTAGGAATGACGGTGAATATGCCAAAATTATGGTGGCAAGGAAAGACACTCTATCCCGCTGGTATGGCCTGGGTCATGGGGTAGCTTGTGCACGTCTTTCTATTGAATGGGTTTCAGGAATTCGTTTGCTACACACCTGAAACAGGCGCTCTGTTAGGCACTCTGCTCTGTGAAGACTTCTGTCTATTTTGCACAACCCCCTTCACTGATGTCTTAGGGGTTCTAATTGAATATAAAAAAATTAATAAGTCACTTGCGTTAAGTTCTAAATGTTCAACATTCAAAAAAAGCAACCATACTGCATCAACCGTTCAAAGCACAAATAAGCTTGAAAAGAATTAAGTCTCATGCATGTGCACAGTAAAGAACGTATACCTTTCCCTTCGTCAGGAGACTATAACCATGACTTATGCTTTGTTGGAGAAACACTCGGTGATGTTGAACTTACTATGTGGATGTTTACATTATTTAATGAGCAAAATGGTATGAAATGAAAAGTAAAAACACGCCAACATAAGATGATAATTAAAATTTAATACACAACAGTACATCAAAGGGTTATCTTTGAATAAAACGTTAAAAGCTCTTCCTAATACTACAAAAAGATCACATTTGAAAATAGTTATCCTTTATATAAAAAGCTAATCCCTCTCAAAGCTAATCTTGATTTGAATATTTTTAAATACCCATGTGTGTTAAATTCTTACCCTTGTCTACTCAGTAGCCTATGAACAGGTGCATTCTGTCCTTGATTTGGCTGAAGGACTCTGTTGACAAGGTAAATAAAAAATTAATTCAATAGGATAAATTCAGTTTTTCCCCCACTTTCTTTCAACAGATGAAAGAAACAGTGAGGCAGAATTCAACGATGCAACGATTTGGCCTATACATTATCACAATGCAAAACAAATTGATTAAAGTGTATTAATATGGTGCTTAATTGCTCACCAAGAGAACAAACCTCGGTTTTTTTATCAGGAAAGAGATGTCTAACACAAGTATTAATCCTTGTGCTTTTAGGTAATTTATTTATGTACTTTACAGAAGGAATTTTTCCTTTCAAACATCTGAGAAACAAAACATCACTCTTTTAAGAGCAGAAAACACATCAGAAACATTAAGCTAGCTTTCTAATGTTTTTAAGTAAGTATCAAAGACCCCTTGGACTGCAGACTGAACTCAGGACATATGGGGCTCAAATTTCCATCAGAGATAGCATGTCCTACAGAAAGCTCCAGGAAAATCTGGTCTGGCACATGACCACATATATGACCAGGTGTTACTATGGATTCTGACTCTGTGACCCTCCACCCCAACAGGGAGAGGTTTACTGATGTAAAGTAGAACAAAGCCAACAAAAAACAAGCTTGGGATTTATAAGATTTTCTTTTCCTTAAAAGTTAAAAAACAGCCTCTTACTGAGACTAAGTGATTTTTCTCACCTTGTTTCAGAAGGATTTTGCTTAACCAGAAATTTCTTATTTGGCATCCCCATTTCTGTAGCTCTAACACAATATAAAAATAAGGACACACAAATAATGTATTTAGAAAGGGGGAAAACACATGATTACAAATGTGATACAGGATGACAGAAACAAATCATCATTTTAAAGTTGGTGCACTACTGAAAGACCTGTAATAAGCATACTAAAGACAAATTTCAAGAAAGAAGAGTTTTAATAGGATAGTTTCAGAATATTATTTGCATTAAGTTTTTCCTGCTATGAAGTCTTTAGGATATTTGAAAAAGAATATATTTAAAAGATATAAAATTAACACTGAATATAAGGATTAAGTATTTTTAAGATTACTTGATTAGCTATCAATTACACAAGTTGAATGTTGACCAATTTATTAGTTAATACATTTATCTAAAGATAAAATCAGATTTTACCACCTGATTTTAATAAAACTGTTTATATAAAGGGATTTCTATCACCTCAGCTGCAGAAGAGTTAACAATTCTTTATTTCTAATTTGAATATACAAACCAACAGTTGCTTAAAATTAATTGGCTTGATAATAATTAAATTAGAATATGACAAGACATGAAAAAAACTTACTTCATGTACTTCTTCCTATCAAGAGACTTCTGTGTTGCAGCTGAAAGAGCCACTCGTGGACTTTTCATTTTATCCTTTAAAATACAAAAGTAACATAAAGCTCTAGTGGTACCAGTAATACCACTGAAGTATAGTATTGGATGATCTCAAATTGCATGGAAAAGCTTCTCTTACTGGCATTTTGAACTTTAATTTAGTCTTTACAATTGAAGCAGTCTAATTTTTTAATTAAATAATTAAAATTATTTTCCCCAATGAAATAGTATAAATTTGGCTTGTTTTTCTTTTGCCAACCACACTAAGATCACTGATTCAAACCACAGATCTCCAACACTCTGATATACAGTTGACCCTTGAACAACACAGATTTGAACTGCACAGGTGACTTACATGCAGATTTGTTTTCAACAAATATATTGGAAAATTTTTTGGAGATTTATGACAACTTTAAAAAACTCACAGATGAACCACATAACCCAGAAATATGAAAAAAAATTTTATGTCATGAATGCATAAAATATATGTACATACTAGTCTATCCTTACATAAGCATAAGGTGAGTGATATTTAATATTAAATTAATGTGTTAGTTTTCTTACTGTTTTATAACTGCTTTCAAAGAGTTACATTACCATACAGTATGCAGGCCTCTCGCTCTTTCTCTCTCTCTCTGCCTCCCTCTCCCTCTCTTCTCTCTCAACTACAGCCTATCATCACAGGTACGTTATGTGGGGTTTTTTTTAAATGTAACACTGTTTCCAATATTGTATTATGAATATGACAACACTATACGCCATGATTATAACAATTTATTCCTTAGTGTACAGGCTAGGCTACTGTGAAGCAATCATATTGATTACACTAGGTCCCCATAAATCAAACATATTGCTGCTTCCTCATTATCAATGCATGAATTGTTATAACTGTAAATAAATGTGAACTTGTTTTTCACATTATCTTTTCATTTTTTTTATCTTTTCATTTTTGATGTCTAATGTTAGTAATACATATAACATCTATAGTGTTTTGTATCATATAAGACAATATTGATGTAGGTACTTAACAGACATGATTCATCTTATAAACAGACAACATAAATTATGGTATTGATAAATACAGTACAGTACTATAAATGTATTTTCTTTATGATTTTCTTAATATTTTCTTTTCTCTAACATTTTATTTTAAGGATACAGTATATAATACATATAACATACAAAATATGTGTTAATTGACTGTTTATGTTATTGGTAAGACTTCTGGTCAACAGTAGACTATTAGTAGTTAAGTTTTTGAGGAGTCAGAAGTTATACTGAGATTTCTGACTGTGGGCCACCCCTAAGCCTCCACGTTGTTCAAGGATCAACTGTATTTCAAATTAATTTGGAGCCTCTTTTCTAACTCTGATTTCCAAAAGAGGTAAAATGTACATGACAGTTTCAAGGAAATTCAATCAGGAGCAGCGGACACTTTTTTATGAGTCATCCAAGTAATATTCAACACTTAACTCAAAAATCTAATCACAAAAACAGTATGTAATTCTTGCCAATTTCTTTTAAATTTGTCTACAGATTTAAATATTATTGGTAATCCTGGGAACTACCTCTTTTAAGAACTGTAGGATGGGGGCTTCCCTGGTGGTGCAGTGGTTGGGAGTCCGCCTGCCAATGCGGGGGACGCGGGGTTGGGCCCTGGTCTGGGAGGATCCCATGTGCCACGGAGCAACTAGGCCCGTGCAGAGCAACTAGGCCCGTGTGCCGCAACTGCTGAGCCTGCGCTCTGGAGCCCGCGAGCCACAACTACTGAAGCCCACAGGCCTAGAGCCTGTGCTCCGCAACAAGAGAAGCCCCGCAATGAGAAGCCCGTGCACCACAACAAAGAGTAGCCCCCGCTCGCCGCAACTAGAGAAAGCCTGTGCACAGCAATGAAGACCCAACTCAGCCAGAAATAAATAAATATTAAAAAAAAAAAAGAATTGTAGGATGGATGCTAAAGTCAATAAAGCATGATATTTAGTATCAATTACACCAAACCCAGAAGAACCTCAATGTGAACTAATTATAGATAGATCAATCAATCGATTGATCTGCCCCTGGTTCCTATTAATATTTGGTCTTTGACCCCAGTTCCTGACACAAAGCTCCTAAAACCCTTTTAATCAAATCTCCTGAGTGAGAGGAGCATCTTTTGTTCTAATGCTTGATCTTTGACTTCGGTTCCTGACACTGAGCTCCTAAATCCCTTGAAATTTCCCGGGTGATAGAAGCAATTTTTTTGAACCCAGGCCCCGACCATGAAAGCACCGAGCCTTAACCACTGGACAGCCAGGGAAATTCCCCAAAGTATCTTTTGTTCTAATAAGACAACTTTTGGTGGGCTCTGAATGAGGGCTAGTCACCAGAAAGACCAAGCACGATTACAACTTGAAACTTTCAGCCTCACCCCCTATCCTCTGGGGACAGGACAGAGGCTAGAGATTGAGTCAATAATCAATCATGCCTACGTGATGAAGCCTCCATAAAAACCCTAAAATACACATCCACATGCTGGGAAAGTGGCACACACCTTCCACAGGACAGAAGCTCCTGTTCTCAGGACCCTTCCACACCTCACCCTATGCATCTCTCTATCTGGCTGTTCATCTGTATCTGTTACTGTATCCTTTATTATATAATAAACCATTAAATGTAAGCAAATGTTTCCTTGAGTTCTATGAACCATTCTAGAAAAATTTTTAAACCCGAGGAGGGAGTCATGGGAACCCCACTTTATAGCCAGTTGGTCAGAAGCAACATAATTATTAATAAAATATACTTAACCCTTGAATTAACATGTATAATTAATACGTGTCTAAACAAGTACAAAAATTCTTTCCTATTTTTTCCTAAAGATTTATTTAATGAGATTGGCATCTGAAGTGGGGGCAGTCTCATAAGACTGCCTCCTTGACATGTAGGATCTGATACTAACTTCCGGTAGATGGTATCAGAACTGAATTGAATTGTTGGACACCCAGCTGGTGTCAGAGATCTGGTGTGGGGGGAAAACCCACACATTTGGTAACAGAAATAATGTGTTGAGTGTAAAAGAAATAGAGGTTTTTTTTCACTCACTAGTTTAAAAGTCACGTAACATACCATTTGCCTGAGCATTTTCTCTTTGCGAACTTCTCGATCATGATGTAGAATAGACATTCTTTCAGCTGCATCCATTACAAAGAATATGTCATGAATACCATACAGGGCAGCTCGCAACTAAGTTCAAAAGAAGAAAATATTATGCCCATATAAAGAGATGAGGTTAGAGGTCAGTAGTATTACGTATGCTCTTATTTAGCGAAAAAGGTTAAAGTTTTCATTGAAACCTACTTTCAGTGGTTCAGCGAAGGTAGAGAAATAAAACATTTCCGTTTCCTAAGAGCCTTGAGGATACATGCATTACCTGAGCTAACCCTCTTTCCTGCAGAGAAGCATCTTGTGCTGAAACAACACCTCTCTTTAATGGTGCTTCCAACTGAAAACTTCTTATGAATTCCATAGTATCCTGAAAGAAATGCTCCTTCATTTTTCTAGAAAGATTTCATGACCACTGGAGTTTCCTTTTGTTCTTTTTCTCAGTCGAAACGAAATGAAGAACACAAAACTATTACATCAGAAGTCAAACAGCACTCACTAAAGTGAGACAAAAAATGCACAAACTACTTCGTTTACATATTTTTAAAAATTATCTGAACGAGATTAATCAATTTCTAAAACAGCCTATATTATGTGACTAAAAAATGTTTGATCTGCCTAAGTTCTGAACTAATTTGTCAACTCAGCTGTCACAACACTGATAGAAACTGAGACAGAAATGAAATACAATTTACATAATCCTCTTACTTTTACAGTCTGTCGAAGTTGTTTCAGTTTATCTGTCTGCATGAGCCTACGAGTGAGAAATCCTTTTGCTACTGCAGTTACTTTTTTAAATTTTGCTTGTACTTCTGCACTGAAAACCTAGAAGAAATAAGATAGACACAACATTTTAATAATCTGAGCATTATACTCAAGATTGTTTTTCTTAATCTATTACAATGAACTAAATTCTTCTGTATGTGTTTACTCTGTGTAGTTTAATCTTTAATAAAAGCTAAGCTTTTGATGTATTGCAAAATATTTATGCCTCATTTGTATAACCTAAGATAACATAGCTCTTTAGAAAAGATATAGACAGACATGCATGCATGTATCTTTAAGTTTGCCCACCTGAGACCATTTAGTTTTAGCCCTTCCAAAAGGTCTTGTTACTGAGAGCTTGGTCAAGCCACCAGTTGATGATCCCCAGAGGTAGAATGGTACTTCACTTGCAGAACCAAAGCTGTGCTGTAGGGCAGAACTTGTGAAACCTTGAGAAATACACATAAAGTATTATACTTGATGTCAAATAATTAGAATACACAGAACATCCAAATAAACATGACACACATTAAGAATAACAACTCTGAAACTGATCCATAGCAGACTTAAAATATTTATGGACTTTAAGCATATGCACCAGATGGATCTTTTCAACACAAACAGCATCTCAGGATAATTGAAGATGTGAAGATAAGCTCTTATTGGGACTGGGTAATTAGATGTAATTCAAGATCACTCAGGAGATAGCAAACTGTGTTATCACTTGAAGAATATCACCTGCTACTTGAATGAAGAAACACCAGGCTCTGAGTCAAATTTCCTGATATTTTCCTTGCTAAGGTGGCTTTTCTCGTGAACCTGCTCACTGGTCTTTGATCTGCTGCTATCATTTCATTTTTCACCAGTTTCTAAGAAGCTGGCAAATAGCAGTGGGTTGGATGTGGAATGACTTATAGAAAGGAGGTACAATTTTAAAGTGTGCCAAATAAAATATCTTACTATAGGATAATTTTTTCAAATGGAAAAGGATTTTTTTTAATATTTACCAGAACTATTTGAATTTGAAGAATGGAGTGAGTCCACTTGAGACAGCATTGTTTCTAGTAAACCAGCGTCACTTATCTTTCTCCATTCTAAGTCCACAGCATTGCTAATGTCCAATTCAGAGGCTTCCGCTGTAATCACCTTCTTCTCTTTTAACATTTTCTCCCGTTCTTCTATTTCCTGTAGATTAACAGTTTATTATAATACGGTAGCTCTTTTAATTACATCTCCAAATAGTATTTTAGGCTCAGCTAAAATAAAGTATGTATGATTATCAGCAAATTATTATTTATTTCAGGTTCTCCTCCCTCAAATAAAATTGACAATTTATTTGATTTTAAAATGTGATCTTAAAACAAGTGTCCTTCCTCTTATGATATACTCTTACAGAATGCATATTTCAGCATCTACTTACAAAATACCTTTTAAAAATATTACAAATTTTGAATCAAGGATTCAATTAAGTAGCCTTTTGATAAATTATGCATTTATTTTTAGATAAGGATCAAAATATTTTAATTCACATTTTGGCAATAAAAATACTCTCCATGACATGGGGAGGGGGAAGGGTAAGCTGGGACAAAGTGAGAGAGTGGCATGGGCATCTATACACTACCAAATGTAAAACCAATAGCTAGTGGGAAGCAGCCGCATAGCACAGGGAGATCAGCTCGGTGCTTTGTGTCCACCTAGAGGGGTGGGAGGGAGGGTGGGAGGGAGACGCAAGAGGGAGGAGATGTGGATACATGTATATGTGTAGCTGATTCACTTTGTTATAAAGCAGAAACTAACACACCATTGTAAAGCAATTATACTCCAATAAAGATGTTAAAAAAAAATTGATAATTCCAAAGTCACTTTTTTTTTAAATCCAAACAAAAAAATACTCTCCATGTATGAAAATCAATAACCCCCTTAGATTAAGATATACAAGGGTAACAATTATAAGTATCCTATACATGACCAAACCTCCACTCACCAGCCCTATATCCCTACATTTTAATTCCTCACCTTTTGCAGTCTCTCCTGTTCCCTTTCCTGCTCAGCTATGAGTAACGATAACTGCTGGGCGTGCTGCTCTTCTAGTCTCTTCCGCATTTCTTCGAAAGCTAACATCTTGCTTTTTAATATCTCCTCACCTTCTGAAAAGAAACATGTCCCCTCAAATTTAGAAAATTTAGTAATATCTGATGTTTTATAACACCAATTTAAATTACGCTTCTGACCAGAGAGTATTCCTGGATCTGACCTAGTACAATCAAGATACAGCCAGGTCCCCACTTTGAATCACATTCTTTTTTGCCCTCCTCTCATTTCATGCTACTAAAGGTCTGTATCTCATCACCCTAACCCACTCGTTCAACAGATCCTATCATGATCTGAACTGATGAAGCCAAGACTATGTGTTCCGTCCAATTCTCTTTACTCCAATTAACTTCACAATGTGGTTCTCATGTGCATCTCACCTCCATTTATTTTCTTCACTCCTGTCCTTCTCCAGGGTCTCTGGTATTGTAGCTTCTACTTTTGCTTTGTTTTACTTTTTTAAAATAAATGTTGCTTTGACAGTATAAAGCTACTCAGCTTGAGGCTCCAAAAAAGATTGGAGGGCTTCCCTGGTGGCACAGTGGTTGAGAATCCACCCGCCAATGCAGGGGGCATGGGTTCGAGCCCTGGTCTGGGAGGATCCCACATGCCACGGAGCAAATAAGCCCGTGAGCCACAACTACTGGGCCCGTGTGCCACAGCTACTGAAACCTGCACGCCTTGAGCCTGTGCTCTGCACCAAGGGAGGCCACCGCAATGAGAGGCCCGCGCACCGCAACGAAGAGTAGCTCCCGCTCGACGCAACTAGAGAAAGCCCGCACGCAGCAACAAAGACCCAACGCAGCCAAAAATAAATAAATAATTTAAAAAAAAAAGATTGGATATTAAAATTCTAGATATTTTCATTACTAACTAAAAAATTTATTAAATTAGTATGACTATGCAACTTACTGAATAGAAAGTGGTGTGACACTTTGAAATGTTGAAATATCAAGTATTACACAGATGTAGCACATAGATATTTAGGAATCCATTATAATTCAACTAAATTCAAAGAATCCTTCTTTCCAAATACACAGTCAATGATTTTCATTGAAGATAAGTGCATTATATGTGTCCTACCTGCCATGGCATTCTGATAATTTTTTCCTAAATACATTTTATTCAGCTACAACAATCTGCAGTTGTTCACGTGCAATTTTTTTATAGGCAGGGGAGGGGGGACTGGAAAAGCAGTTGAATTGTAACGTTCAGCAAGAAAGGAAAAAAGCCCTCCACTCAACCACTCAGCCAACAACTGGAGTCCATTCAGCTCTACCTCAAAAACTTTATAAATGAGTGCCTGTCCAGGGGATCCCTCTCTGGGAGGTGTGCCCGAGGCAGGCAGCCAAGCTACGGGCAGCTCTCGGCACAATGCACTGGCGCCCTTGCCCACTCTGATAGCAAGCCGGCTGCCTCCATGCCTGGCCTCATCTCACACGCACTGGCCTTCCTCTTGTGAAAGCACTGCCAGAACTGCCACTTGGTCAGTCTGTGTACTTTAGGTATTCACCGAGACAGCTTCTAGCCTGCTATGTCATCTACTTGGAGAAGCCAAGCTGGCTCCTCAGATATCAACTGTTTTTATTAGAGTGCTTATAAAGTCGCACAGGTGTTACGTCGTCTGCCCCAACCCAACCCTATTTTTCCTATAAACCTTGTTACTTTTAGTGTGCAATTTTACAGAATATGAAGTTTTTTTCAGGAGGATACATATCACATTAGAGTTGAAATGTCTGTGTCTAAAAACTTAATTTACTTGATTTATATGTCTTCCACATCAGTAATGAAGAATTATGAGCCATGACAACAAAGTAAGGAGTAATAAAGAAGACATGTTTTAACAAGTTACTGTTAATATAACACTAGATGCAACAGAAAGAAATTTGAAATAATTTTCATTAATAAAGACACCACTCTTGAAACACTACTCACAGAGCCTAATTTGTGATATCTTCTCTAATAATTTAGTGTTAAAGTGTTTACTAAAGGGCCAACTACATGAAGATCTCATTACAAATGAAAGGGCAAACTGATGAAAATATTAGAAACCACAGTCCGAAAGGAAGACATCATAGCAATATACTGGATTAAAACTATGAGTGATGTTTCATGCAAGAACTTTTTCCTCCAGTCATTAACAATATTCTCTATAATACCAAGTGGATTGTGAAAGATTCATAATCTAAACAGGAAAATCCTTTAAGAAAGCCTATCAAATGGCAGTAAGCTGTAGCCCTGATAAATGAACAGATGAAGACAATTATAATTATTCTGCAATTATTATTATGATAATTATTGTCAATTAAAGGTATTAAATACAGATGCCACCTACTTGGCAGATATTAAACACTTTGAAGTTTTCTTACCTTTGGAACTATTTTCTAATATTTTATTCTTGTTGATGTAGACAGACCCCTTAGAGTATCTTTTTTCTGGCAAATGTTGCCTTTCCTGTTCAGCTATTCCAGTTGTTATGACATAAGGCCAGTTTTCTTTTTGCAAATTATCAATATCTAAATCAAGTCTCCGTTTAACTTTCTCAAAACTGTTATCCAAAAATTGTTCACTTCCACAGGACACTGTAGGGGTGTCCATATGCTGTCTGGTATTCTGGTTTTGCATCAGTAAAGGAGATGGGTTTTTTACATCGTAAGACTTATTCAGTCCCATTTGGAAACTGCATGAGTTTTTCTCTAACACACTGGCTGACTGGCGTCCACTCACAGTTCCAAAGTTGTGACTCACTGTACATTGACTGGTGGCACATGGCTCATGAAATCTTTCCACTGAAGTACATGTACTGTCCATTTTCTGTGGTCCTCTCCCATCAGATGTTAACTGATCTTCCATGATAGCAAGTCCATGAATAACTTTATTTTCTAATTGACTTCCTGAAGATTGACATACCTGATTTGATTTACCTAAAACCATTTCCTGTATGGCTTCAGATGTATTTTTACTGACATAAACCTTGCTTGAACAAACTCCTGCTAAATCAATTGGTAACTCTGGCACAGTTTCAGGTACATTTGTTTTTTCATCAGTTTCTTGAACAACTAAGTCTACTGCCTGTTCTTTTCCTTTAGGGCTTAATTCACAAGCATTTATTGGGTTTTTTATAAGTATATGACATGCTGATGATGGCCTAGAACACCTTCGATGCATTTTAGGACTTAGGCTTGGCTCTGGGCTAGGTAATTTGGCATATGAACCAGTAAGACTTTTGATAACATTATTTTCAGTAACAAAAGTGGGAATGCGTTTAAAATCAGAATCAGGCTCTAAAACAGTAGAATGGCCAGTGGGTATAGGTATGTCCACTTTAGAAAAGCTACCTAAAATGGATGTATTCACGCTGCTTGCTTGAGTGGAAGCACCTTGGAGAAGAACATTTGATTTATTAAGGCTTGGTTTGTCAGGAATAACTGAACCACAGGGCTTGCCCATCAACTGGGCCTTCTCCTTTTCACAGTCAGTCACTTTAACAGCATCATGTTCTCTGTCTGAATAACCCTCACTAACACTCCTCTTTGCACTACTTCTCAGGCTGTGTCTAGACTGCTCTCTTTCTATATATTCCTTTGACTTTTTCATCAGCTTCTGAAGACTCATTATGTAGGGATCGGGAGTAACTTCCCCCACAAGTGATGGATCTTGTTCTTCATTTGTTGGAAAGAGACCACCAGAAATAAGTGGCTCTTGTGCAGCTGTTGAGGAGGTCTTTAGAGAAGCTTCGTTTTCTGCATGGTTAATAGTTGAACTATCACATTGCTTCAGATAATTGAATTCTTCTGAGTCCCTAGCTAAGTTTATCCCATTAGATTTAAATCGGTCCTCAGTATTCAATGGCAAAATTCCAGTTATCTTTTCAAACTTTGCTAAAGTAGAGTGTTCAGTAGGGCTTGGCAAGATATTTGGAAGTGTAGCAGGAACATTCAAGTTTCTGACTTCTGAATTAGAGTAAACTGTTTCGGTCTCCCACTGATCAAAATCACAGGCATTAGGTGCTTTTCTAACCTGGAAAAGGAAATTTAAGAATTATTATTTCCAGGAATTCCCTGGTGGTCCATTGGTTAGGATTCCATACTTCCACTGCAGGGGGCACAGGTTTGATCCCTGCTCGGGGAACTAATTTCACATGCCGTGTGGCTCAGCCAAAAAATAAATAAATAAACAAATAAAAATAAATTTAAGAAATAAAAATATTTCCTCACTACACAAAAAGCCTTTTTTTTTTTTTTTTTCCAGTACGCAGACCTCTCACTGTTGTGGCCTCTCCCGTTGCGGAGCACAGGCTCCAGACGCGCAGGCTCAGCGGCCATGGCTCATGGGCCCAGCCACTCCACGGCATGTGGGATCTTCCCGGACCGGGGCACAAACCCGTGTCCCCTGCATCGGCAGGTGGGCTCTCAACCACTGCGCCACCAGGGAAACCCCAAAAAGCCTTTGATTTCATTGTTTTCTAAAGTGAAACTGAAACTGAAGATTCAGAGTTCTAATATTTGAAAACACAAAACTCAGATGACCTTTTCTATGGTATTCTATACCACATGGAGCTCAAATTACTATAAAAAGCATCTACTGGTCATCCCGGCCTATTTATTAACAGATTAAAAGAGAATTCCCTCACGGTCTAGTGGTTAAGACTCCACACTTCCACTGCAGGAGGCACAGGTTCAGTCCCTCGTCGGGGAACTAAGATCCCACATGCTGCCAGGTGCAGCCAAAAATAAAGAAAGAAAGAGGGGCTTCCCTGGTGGCACAGTGGTTGAGAGTCTGCCTGCCGATGCAGGGGACACAGGTTCGAGCCCTGGTCTGGGAGGATCCCACATGCCGCGGAGCTCCGCAATGGGAGAGGCCACGACAGTGAGAGGCCTGCGCACCGCGATGAAGAGTGGCCCCCGCTCGCCACACCTAGAGAAAGCCCTCGTACAGAAACGAAGACCCAACACAACCAAAAATAAATAAATAAATTTATAAAAAATAAAAAAATAAAATAAAACCTGTTAATGAGTTTTTGAACAAGCAAAATAAGTTAAAAATTTAATAAAGATGAAAACAACTGTATACACAAAAGATCCAACAGAAAACAATAAAATTACATTTTGTATCTAAATAATTCGACTGCAAAAGAACAAAAAGTGAACTAGGATGTTTTCTAAACATTATACAAGCATATATGAAACTGGCAGAAATCACTATCATATTATCATATGAATACACTCCAGAATCCTGAATTTTAAAAGATTTTTAGGTTGTTTTGTATGTGTTTTTTTTCTTAGGCAATATGGCACTCCTATTTTACCTTACAAATCCCAAGACATGTAATGATTTCCAGGTACTACGAAATAAACAGTACAACAAGATCTACTTGGTCACAACCTCACGATCGAAATAAAACAAAAGGGATACATACTCATGACACATGTTCGCAGGTTTAAGTAAAATAATTTCCTCAAAATAGCTAAATATTTCATATTTGTGATATTCAGCAGCCATGCTTTTTGTACATCACTAAAAAAGCCTTTGGTTAGACAATTTAAATAACAACAAAATCTATCAGAATCATAGGTTTTACAGGTAAAACAGACCTTAGAAATCTATTTGTATTATATAAAATTTCTCTATCTGCATAATTAATTCATAACTCTATAGTTCAACATTGTACACGTTCTATTAAGCAGAGAAAGTCTTTTATTTAATTAATTCATTTATTTTTTTGCGGTACGCGCGGGCCTCTCGCTGCTGTGGCCTCTCCCATTGCTGAGCACAGGCTCTGGACGCGCAGGCTCAGCGGCCATGGCTCACGGGCCCAGCCGCTCCGCGGCATGTGGGATCTTCGCGGGCTGGGGCCCGAACCCGTGTCCCCTGCATCGGCAGGCGGACTCCCAACCACTGCGCCACCAGGGAAGCCCCCAGAGAAAGTCTTTAAACTCAACAATAAACTCATTAGTAGTATATTTGATATACTCCCTCAGTGGACCAAGAATGATATGCCATTTTTGTTCCAATAATAGGAAATATCTAATAAATTAAAAACCCACCTTTATTGTGCTACTCACTACATTTTTTAAACTCAATATGAGCAGTAATTATACTTTACAAATTAAAATCTACTACCCACAGAGAAATGAAGGTAGTAGTTAGTGGGAAATATCCTAAGGGTCATTGTACATAAGTTATCTAGTATGAATTACACAAACCACAAACCCCTAGGATTATAAAAAACATTAAAAGATGTAACCAGCAAAACAGGGTTATATAAGGCAGAAATTATTTGTTTTATCTAATTCACTGTTTTTAGTATGAAATGATCCAGACCTTAAAACACATTGTTTATACAAATTTAAATTAAATAAAAATCATTGCAAAGGTATAGATGTGTTGTTTAAATAGTTTCAATTTGTATCTAAGATGCATCTAGGCAATTCTATTATCTAATCTAAATTGCATTTGTGTATCTAAGAGCAGAATTTTCACCAGAAAAACAATTGGGGACAGTTATTTACTTTAGCATAGAATAAGAATAAGGTCATTGAGTCAATAGTCTGATTAGTTCAGAGGTAAACTACAATGGCCAATTCTATCATTTTGTCACTGAGAATTCAATGTTTTTAGAGTCATAAGACACAGACAACAGGCAATTATACTCAGTGTACGGGTCCATTGTCTAAGTACCCTCTGATTCAAGTACTGAGCACCACTAAAAAGCAAGTGAATTTTCTTTGGAGTAACTGAAATGGAATATCACAAATTATGAAGATTCTCAAGCTTAACAGTATATTGGTAATTAACTACTAAGGCAAATTTATTTCTGAAAAATTATCATCAATGCTTAACTCATGATTTCTTAATTATAATTTAAAAGAGCTTAAATTACACACCTGAACATTTTCAAGAATCTCCTGGACACGTGTCAGTAAAGCTCTATTCCTGTTAACCTGCTTTCTTCCTTCTACATCAAGTGCTTTCTGCTTTTCTTGTTGCATCTCCTTTCTTTTCTCAATATTAAGCTGAAAAACATCATAAATATGTAATGATTTCTCATAAATGTAAAAATATCATAAAATCAGGTAGTTTTGAACCAGAATGATTAAAAATGTGTGCAACAGGTAAAACTATCTATAGTGAAAGGGATCTGAACAGTGGTTGGGGGTGATGACTGGGATGGAGCATATGAAATTTTTCTGTGGTGATGAAAATGTTGTGTGGGTGTAAGTTATAAATGAATGCCATATATCAGAACTCATGGGACTGCTTTTTTTGATTTTTTTTTTTGGTCGCACTGTGTAGCATATGTGATCTTAGTTCCCTGACCAGGGACTGAACCCATGTCCCGTGAATTGGGAGCATGGAGTCTTAACCACTAGGCCACCAGGGAAGTCCCCAGCATTCATGGAACTTTAACACTTAAGATCTGTGCATTTTACTGTAAGTAATTATTCTCAATTGAAAAAAAAAGTTGAAAGAAAAAAAAACTGTTCACTTATCAAATGCTCTGAAATGAAAGATAAAATTAACCCTATTGGCTACTGTTGAGATTTTCATTTGGTAATGTCTTACTTCACTGGTTCAGTTAGATTCTTTAGTTTCTAATCCTCTAATCAGTATACATTTCACCTCTTTGCTACCTCAAGAAAATGTCCAAAGGTTTAATGATAAAAGAAACAGATAATGTTTTATTTGCCTACAAAATCAGAACACGTATTTGGTTCCACTTCATTGCAACCTCCAATAAAAATGTAATGTACTGAAAAAATTGAAGGCTTCCAAGCATTATTTTTTTTTTAGTGGATTTAAGTCTTTATTATTAAGTCCTGGGAAGTTTAGTCACTATGTTAAAGGAGTCAAGACTTATTTTAGATTTATGCAAATAGAAAACATGTCATAAAAAATTATTTCAAAGTTGCAGTATTTGACTATCAAATACAACCTAAAATCATGGATTAAGGTCCATAAGCATTAGATTTTGCTTATAAATAAGTAACTGATGAAGTTGTAGACCCTAAACAAGGCCCAGACATTTTGGCCTATATTAAACTAATCAAGCAATATGTCATCAAGTAGCTGATAAAAATGTTTTAAAATCTTTTCTTATTTGCATGGTACCAAAGAATCATTCCAGTTTACTTGCTAATCAAAAAGAGAAAAGAGGGCTTCCCTGGTGGTGCAGTGATTGAGAGTCCGCCTGCCGATGCAGGGGACAAGGGTTTGTGCCCCGGTCTGGGAAGATCCCACATGCCGCGGAGCGGCTGGGCCCGTGAGCTATGGCCGCTGAGCCTGTGCGTCCGGAGCCTGTGCTCCGCAACAGGAGAGGCCACAACAGTGAGAGGCCCGCGTAACGCAAAAAAAAAGAGAGAGAGAAAAGAAAATGTATACCTTTAGAGTCATATGGCAGTCACCACTGTAGAAGCAAGTGTTCAAACTACACATTACTAATAGACAAACAACTACACATTACGTAACTTCTGATTTAATTTAATATGAAGTACATGGCATCATCTCCAAAGAATTCTTGCTAAAAATGTTTAACCTGACTCTAACCAAACTATTAGGCTAATTTCCAGTTTATAGGAACTACAGGAACTAGAGGGTAAGTTAAATGTCACCATGAGGAAACAATTAGACAAATCCAAAATATAAGGCATTCTGTAAGATCTCTTTAAAAATTCACTATCATAAAAAATGATTTTTTAAAGAAATTAAGGAACTGTTCTATGTCAAAGACATTAAAAAACATAACAAGTGAATGCTATTTGTGAACTCTGACTGGATCCAGACAAGAAAAATGTTATAAAAGACATTTTGAGCACAAATAGAGAAATCAGAATATAAACAGAATATTAGATGCTATTAAAATTATTATTAATTTTCATAAAGTGTGATATGATATTGGAGTTTTATGTAGGAGAGTATCCTTATTTTTAGAAACTGTATACCAAAATATTTAGGGGAGAAGTGTTATGTATCTGTAATTTTCAAATGGCTAGGCAATGAAACAAAAAAAGTTTTAAATAAAGCAAATAACGCAATAAAGCGAAGACAGCAAAAATGTTAAAAATTGTTGAATCTAAATGGTAGATATGTGGGTAGTCACTGAACTATCCTTTCAACTTTTCTGTATGGTTGAAAATTTCATTACAAAAAGTTGACAGAAAATATTGACCTTTTAAATCCTGCTATACAAAGAAGAAATAAATTTAAAACTCTCTTTCAGTAATATTAGTTTTCTGATTTGAAATAATGTCATACATTTATAAGATATTCAATCAGTATCAAAGAGAAACACGATGAAAAGTGTGTCTTCCCTCTCATCTGATATTTCTTCACTCCTCCCCAGAGAAAGAAGATAACAGTCTTATTTAAAAACCCAAATAGTTAGCATATATTGAGTACCTACTATGATCTAGGTAGTGTTCTAAGCATTTTAAATGTATTAGTTCGTTTTCCTCAAAACAGCCCAATGAGGTAGGCATTATTTTTTATCCTCATTTAACAGATAAAGAAAATGGACCTGCAAGTTCACACAGCAGGTAAGTGGCAGAGCAATAATCTGAATCCAGGCAAGAAGGATCCAGAGCCAGGCTTTTAACTACTACTCTATACTGCCTCTGAGAGCATGCTGTGTCCAGTGATTTACGGTAGCTTGTGAAGATCCTTCCATGCCTACACATTAAGATCTACTCTACTCATTTTAATGAGTCTATAAAGTGGACCAGTTAGTTCAACTAGTCCAGTACTGATGGACATTTAGGTTGTTCATCAATCTTTTGCTCTTTTAAACAATGCTCCTATAACCTTACACATACTTCTTCAGGCACATGGATGAGTATAATTGTAAGATATTCCCCAAAATGGAATTGCTGAGTCAAAGGTTATATACACTTTTAAATTCGATAAACACTACCAAACTGCTCATCAAAAAATAAAATCAACCGATTCTCTCAGCAAAAGTGCATTTTAAGTGCCTCCTCCCCACAAACTAAGAAATACTAGGTCCTATCAGACCGTTGCCAATCAAATGTTAAAAAAAAAAGCAAAAAACAAACAAAAAAAACCAACCGCGAACTCATTTGCATTTCTTTACTTATGAAAAGGGTCAGGCATCTTTTTGATATTTATAAGCCAGCCTTTCTTTTGTTTTTCTGTGAACTACCTTAGTGGTTCACTATAGAAAAAAGATTATTTAAAATCAAAAACATTTACCAGTGGAGAAAGCACAGCCACTCCATGGAAGCGAATAAGTGAGATGCTTTCAGACTGGACAGGTAGAAAGCTCTCTGTGGATAGTGATGCTTCTTGGATTCTGGCAAGAATTTTCTCACAGAACTTCTCATACTCTTCCATTTTCCCACAATCACACTACAAGAGAGAAAAAAAGCCATTTTTAATGTGCTGACAAAAATAGATCTTAATTTATTTGGCAAATTTGTAGGGCACTGAAATATCCTAGAATTCACAATTCCTAGAACTGGCTTTCCCAGAACTGTTTCACTGATCAGTTGGGTATAGGAAAGCCCCTCAAGACCCTGCCCAGTCAAGCCTTGCTTCATATACTAAATATTTCTGAAGATTTGTACATAATCAATCTTTAAATGTGATTAGTTTAGAAAAGTACTAAGAACTCAGCAATGAAACCTTCTGAAAGGAAACAAAGTTCTATACAACCTAACTAACTTCAGTTGTAAAACATAATATTATCTTTCCTTCAGGAGGACTTATCTACACATCACAAGGAAAACTAAATAGGACTTCCCTGGTGGTGTAGTGATTAAGAATCCGTCTGCCAATGGAGGGGACACAGGTTCGAGCCCTGGTCCGGGAAGATCCCACATGCCGCGGATCAACTAAGCCCGTACACCACAACTACTGAGCCTGTGCTCTAGAGCCCGCAAGCCACAACTACTGAGCCCGCGTGCCTAGAGCCTGTGCTCTGCAACAAGAGGAAGCCACCACAATGAAAAGCCCGCGCACCCAACGAAGGGTAGCCCCCGCTCGCCACAGCTAGAGAAAGCCCGCACGCAGCAACAAAGACCCAATGCAGTCAAAATAAATAAATAAAATAAGAAAGAAATCTAAGCACAAAAATGTGTACCACGGTTTATTTATTTTAAAAAAAAAAACCTAAACAATACAAAGGTAGGAATGCTTTTGTAGCCAAAAAAAGAGACAAAAGGGCTAGTTAAATGAAAACTGGTATTTACTTTCAAAAGTTCTTTTTTCTATCATGGAGTCCAAAGTCTATTACTTGCATATCTTAAGAATATAATTTGACTCCATGATAACTGAGCAAATCAGTCGGAAGTGGAAAACAGAATCTATTGGCTCTCATATTAATTCTGCTTTACTGTTAAAAAGTGGAACCATCACCAAACCACTTAAAATAATAAGTCCAGTAATTTCAATTTCTGGGAAACTGTGATGGTGGCTATGAAAATACAAGGTAAAAGGAAGGGTTAGATACCAAATTCATTCATCTAGCAAGTGTTAAATATTTGATTGCCTGTTTCCATAGCATTATGTCTGGCATTGTTTCCTTTAAATAAACAAGGGAAAGGGAAAGGGAAAG